AAAAAAAACAATAATGTGTTCATGAGATAGGCCTGTGTGGCACATTTTGACGATGAACCCAGCCTGCCAGCAAAACTGCTACCGGATCATCAACAGTCTCTTGGAAGCCCTGAGATATCTTCACTAAAGCTGCAAGAGGTAGGACACCGTCAGTTGCTGCAGCAACTGTCTCCGCAGTTGTTGGTTCAGGCAAGGATTGCAACGCCGGACCTTCATTGATCCCCGTGTAGAAGTTGGTCTTGTCCTCAACATCTGCAAGAACCATCGAGAAGGTTTGACGTCCAAAAAGTGTGAGATCAGAGCTCCCTGAAGCACCATTGCCAGATTCTCCATGAGCATCAGCAGCTGCACTGGCAGCAGCATTGTCTTCAACCTTTTGGCTGGAACCAGCATCGGTATGATGCATTGTGGAAGCACTTCCACTCGTGTCTGCATCCCACACTCCAGAGTACGCCAACACTTCTGCCCGAGGACTGCATTCTAGCCACTGCTGCAACACCCGCTCTTTGATTTGGTCGGTAGTGCCGTTCTTGGAAACTTTCATGTCTGACGCCTTCTTTTTCAAGTCTGTCCTCACTCTGCAACTGATGACATAGGAACAGTGGGGGTATGAGTTCATTCTTGCACTATAGAGTGTGTATATATATAAGCATATATATATATATATACAGAGAAAAGCGTATGCCAACCAATTTTGGCAAAGGTTCTTCGTGAGAGTTGAAAGAGCTCCATAGTAAAGCTGACCGGCTTCGTAGTATGCATTTGCCAGCTTTGCAGCTTTCAGCAAAGAGTCGCCCTCAACCAAAAACTTTCTCTGAAACCCATGGACCTTCACGCTGCAACTCTTCTTGTTCACTCTGATGTTGGCATAGTCTTTCGCAATCTGCTCCAAAGGGGACAGCTCCTAGCTCTCCAAAGTGAAACACTGTTTGTCACACTACCGCCTATGTCATCCTACATGATTACTGAACCGTCTTTGAACTTGAGCGCCCTCTCCTTGCCCTTCTCAGCAGACAATTCTTGTTTTGGTTCATCCTCGACTTTGTCTTGCGCATGCTTGCCAGCCTTCTTTTCCACGAGCTGCTCCAGAGTAGCATGTGTCAGCGAGTCTTTCAGCAAGCGATCCATCATGCCTTCCGACTGCCCAGATAGACCCCGCTGCTTGCATTTTGCTTTCAGCTCCGTCCTTAGCGGTGTGTGTACATATGAACATATTGTACAAAGTGCGTACATACATATATATATATATATATTATGCATATTTTGATATACATATATATTATGCATATATACGGACATATCTTTGCTATAAGCACTGCTATGCCCCGTAAGGCCATGACCTAGGCCATGTGTGCACACCAAGAATCTGAGAGAGTAATTGCAAGTTGGATTGCTCACGCTGCGCATATGCTTCAAAAAGATCAGCCATCATAGCACTCAACTGAAGTGTGTCTGTATTGGCCGGAACAGGGAAATCAATCGAGAAACCGTGCTTGGAAAATACCGCGCCAGCTTCATTGATAGTCAACATTGGAAATTGTTCCTTCACCTGCAATGGAGAAGCTCTCAATCACTCGTATATATACAGTACAGCCAGCAGTTTTCGGAAAAAACACATATATATATATATCACAAAGCTGCTGACATAGGAACACGTGCATCAAATCCCTTCACCAAAGATGCCTGATCAATATCGCCTCCAATGGTCAGTGTTTTGTTGGGCCACCAAACAAACCTGAAATGGGATGCGGCGTTGCCACTGCCATCTGTGCAGCATTCCTCACTTGGCCATACATCCCAAGTCAGGTGTCACTTGTATATCACAAAATCTCTGAACATGAGAAAAAGTTATATAAGCATGTTTATTCAAGATTCATTGGACATCCTGAGTTGTATCTCCGCGTTTGCTGGTCCAAAACATTGAATCACATCCCCGGACGACCCTTCCACGAGGAGCTTAGCGCCAAGAAAATCCAGGACCTCTTGGAGATCAGACTCTGGTGGAGACTCGCTCTCTCTGAACCTTCTCCAAATGCCCCACCATGTTTGCGATATCCTTAGATCAAGTTGGATTGTGAGTGAAACGAAGAGAGACCTGGTTGCAAAACCACATGACACTCCTCATGACATAGGCCCAGGGGACACTTTCTGGACATCTATATATATATATATAAATATACTACTCACAGCCATGCATCTCAGCACTTTCATGATGCAACTGTCTGTGCACAAGCGACCCCACAAATCGAAAGACCGCGCGCTGCTCAACCTTGATGCGGCCCACGGAGGGAAACCCTCCTGCACTTCTTGTTTCAGCAGCCCAAGTAGCTCTGGTGCGTTCACTGGCAAAACACAAGTAAAGAGCACTCCAGAAGCATCGGCCATCAGCCATTGGATTGATGATAGTCTTCATGTCCTGCCGCAAGTACATATGACTTAGGCCTTAGGCATAAGTGAGACCTCTGAAACAAATATTATATATATATAAGTGATAAAGATTTTGATGGTAATGATACAACTCTCAGCCGCTTTGCGCCTCGGCTAAGTTTGCAGCT